CACACAACTGGTTGGATAAAAATCATATTCAAGCACAAACCATGGGAGTACCTATATATACATTACATATATTTTTAGTTTATTGTTACTGTAACAAGAGGCCCAAGATCCTTAACGGTCACCTGAGTATAATACAACAATTTAGAAGTTAAATACACTGACAGATGAAGCTTTGTTGCTCTAAAGCAAGAGAAGTAGGAAGATCAGGATCAACAAAATAATTAGTCTAGTATTCACTTAAGTTCTAATCTGTCCCCCACTTAATATTATCACCAAGCAGACTATTAACAAACTATTAGTGCTTCTGTACTATTTTTAAACCCGTGTTAAGACCTCTAGCATTGACCTCTCTTATGGTCTTTGAAGAACTTTTAATAAGATAAGTTATTTTTGTCTCATTTTTATTTATCTATTTCTTACAGGTCTGCCTGATTATTAAAACTAAGAAAGTACTTTTTGAATTATACGATAAACATTCTTGCATAATTATCTTATTCTATTAATCTTTCAAATACATTATTTACAGTGATTAATTATCAAAGGTGAATGGAAAAGGGGAATAACTTCTCTCAGTAGAATACAAATTAATAGAGCCTGTCCAGGACCAGAATGCTTAGACAAATTGTCCAGATGTTCAAAAATCTGGTAGAAATACGCTTACTTATATCATTTAAACTTTTACTCAGTTTGCTTTCGATATGCCCAGAAGCAGAGAAGAATTTCACAGGTACAATGCATTTTCAATACAGATTCAACAAAGCCTTACCCTAACACCAGAACCCAAGACCAAAGGTCAAGAAATTTACAAATTTGGAAGAGTTACCCTCATCATCATAACTATGGACTTCAAAGAATTAACACTTTTCCACTATATTATCAAAAGCCCCCCCCCCCTTCCTCGTTATGCCAGAGCCCCTGACCCTAGGACCACAAGATTTAAAAATTCTGTTCGAAGCTCCCATCTTCATCATAGCTAAGCAATTTATTTATTAGCTCAACACTAAGGAGCAGACAGGATTAGTTAATGATTAATTAATAGAATTAATGCATTTTCACTATATAATCAATAGAGCCCCCCTCCCCCCCCCCTCCTCAAGAACCCCAAAAACTGAGGCCATGTATTTAAAAATTTTGGAAGAGGCATCCTTGCCTATCATAATCATGCACTTAGTTTGTTTAAATAATCTCCAGTAGCAAAGAAGAAGATTTTCATAGAATCAATGCATTTTCACTATATAATCAATAGAGCCCCACCCTAACACCGGACCCCCTGACCCTGGGGCCATGAAATTCACAATTTTTAAAAAGGCATCCTTATGCATCATAACCATGCACTTAGTTTGTTTACATAATCTCCAGTAGCAGAGAAGAAGATTTTCAAAGAATCAATGCATTTTCACTATATAATCAATAGAGCCCCACCCTAACACCAGAACCCCTGACCCTGGGGCCATGAAATTCACAATTTTGGTTGAGGCACTCTTGCTCATCATAACTATGTACTTAGTTACTTTATTTAATACCCAGGAGCAGAGAAGAAGATTTTCAAAGAATTAATGCATTTTCACTATATAATCAATAGAGCCCTGCCCTAACACCAGAACGCCTGACCCAGGGGCCATGGCTTTCACAATTCTGGAAGGGACCCACCTCCTCATCATAACTATGTACTTAGTTTCTCACCTTAATGCCCAGGAGCAGAGGAGAAGATTTTCAAAGAATTAATGCATTTTCACTATATAGTCGATAGAGCCCCGCCCTAACACCAGAACCCCTGACCCTGGGGCCATGAATTTCACAATTTTGGAAGAAGCACTCTTGCTCATCATAACTATGTACTTAGTTTGTTTACATAATCTCCAGTAGCAGAGAAGAAGATTTTCAAAGAATCAATGCATTTTCACTATATAATCAATAGAGCCCCACCCTAACACCAGAACCCCTGACCCTGGGGCCATGAATTTCACAATTTTGGAAGAGGCACTCTTGCTCATCAAAACTATGTACTTAGTTACCTTATTTAATACCCAGGAGCAGAGAAGAAGATTTTCAAAGAATCAATGCATTTTCACTATATAATCAATAGAGCCCCACCCTAACACCAGAACCCCTGACCCTGGGGCCATGAATTTCACAATTTTGGAAGAGGCACTCTTGCTCATCAAAACTATGTACTTAGTTACCTTATTTAATACCCAGGAGCAGAGAAGAAGATTTTCAAAGAAATAAGGCACTTTCACTATATGATCTATATAGCCCCACCCTGGGGCCAGAACCCCTGACCCTGGGGCCATGAATTTCACAATTTTGGTAGAGGGCTCAATGCTTATTACAATGATGCCAACAGTTTGACTGCTTGATGTCCAGGAGTAAAGAAGAAGATTTTTAAAGATTGCATTATTTTTGGTGGTTTTAGCCCCACCCCTCAGGCCCCAGGGGGGCAGGGACCATGAATTTCACAATTTTTGTTCCCCTTCACCGATAGATGCTATATGCCAAATTTGGTTGAAATTGGTTAAGCGATTTCAGAGAAGAAGCTAAAAATGTTCAAATGTTAACGCACGACGCACGCCGACGGACGAGAACGGATAGCAAAAGGTCACCTGAGTGACTCAGGTCTAATAAAAAATGGAGACCCCATGCTCATTAATGTGTGAAGTGTTGTATGACCACATGTACTTGAAGATGGCATATTTTAGAGAGCAATGTTATTTTAAATATTTTTGTGAAGGTTGTAATTGGGGGAAAATTTCATTTTTTCTCATATGCTGAGACATATGTATTTTTAAGTATTTGGTGTTATAAATAGAAATGGAAATAATCTCCGCAGATTATTTTGCATTTCAGCTAATGCTCTCTTGTTCTTGTCAGTCATTACATTAATAATAGTTAGTCTGCAAATTGAGCATTCCTTATGTTAGAAATAGGGCAAAAATCTATATTTCCTTGATTATTTCCAATATGTCTATTTTTAGACATACACGTATGTTGCTATAAATAGAAATCGAAACCTCCGCTGATTATTGTGCATTTCAGTAAATGCTTTCCTGTTCTTGTCATTCACCTTTTGTCAATAACAGTTAATAAAAGTTAATCGGCAAAATGTCCATTCCTAGTGTGCGAAAATCTATATTCCCTTGATTTTTTGCAATTTGTCTATTTTTACACATGTGTTGCTATAAATAGAAATTGAAACCTCCACTGATTATTCTGCATTTCAGTTAATGCTCTCTTGTACTTGTCGGTCACCTGATGTCAATAACAGTAAATAGCAGTTAGTCTGCAAATTGTCCATCCCTAATGTGAGAAACAGTGCAAAATTCTACATTTTTTCAATAGTTATAAAACGTTTGTTACTATAAATAGAAATGGAAACCTCCGCTTATTATTCTGCATTTCAGTTAATGCTTTCTTGTACTTGTTGTTCCCCTTATGTTATTAACAGTTAATAGCAGTTTGTCTGCAAATTGTCCATCCCTAATGTGAGAAAATAGTGCAAAATTCTACATTTTCTTGATAATTTGTAGAATGTCTATTTTAAAACAATTGTTACTATAAATAGAAATGGAAACCTCCGCTTATTATTCTGCATTTCAGTTAATGCTCTCCTGTACTTGTCAGTCACATTATGTCAGTTACAGTTAATGACAGTGAGTATGCAAATTGTTCATCTCTAATGTGAGAAATAGTGCAAAAATCTACATTTCGTCATTAATTTCCCATGTGTCTATTTTTAGACATTTGTACTATTTATAGAAATGAGAGCCTATCCTCAATAATGTGTGAGTTATTGTATTATCCCTTCTTCTAATTGATGAAATATTGGTGAGAGCAGTATGTTTATCACTTATGTTTTAGTGGAGCTTCTAAATGATAGAAAATAGTCATTTTTACACATATTATGAGACATGTCTATTTTACGGCATTTGAAGCTATAAATAGAAAACGGAACTCCCTTCAAATAATATGCATAGTAGTTATTGGTGTCCAGTTTCTGTCATTAACATATTGACTTTTACAGTATATTTCTTAAATACCTAACAATGGCATCTTAAACTCTGCCCAAAATTGATTTTTTAGATTTTTCTGAAATATGTCTATTTATAGATACATGTTACTAAAAATAGTATTGAGATCCCACTCCAATTTTTTCATGAGGTGACACTCTTAATTCTGAAGTATGAAAACACACATAAGATTTGAAAATTTTCCATAGACAATTTTTTTTATTTAACCTTAAAGTTCTCAAAAAATACCAAATTTCCCATTTTACACATTTTCAGAAACTAGGTCATTTTACAGGACCTTTTTCTTAGAGTGGGAATAATTCTGGAATAACCGATTATATGCCCTGTATACCTTAAAAGTTGATGTTTTCTTATGATACAATGATTTATGTTTGAGTTTACTACATAAAGATAAAAATTCATTTACATTTCCTCAATTTTCATGTTTTCATTTGGTCAAAAAGGGCCAAACATGGCCAAATTCAATGGATCCGTCTCCATGGCAACCGGGTGCACGTGTGAAACTTCTAACACCATATTTGCTAGTTTTGTGCCAAGATGCACCTGTGGTGCAAATTTCATCAAAATCGGAGAGATGTCGTTTCCAAGCCCTATAGTAATTTTTTTGGTGCTTACAGAGAATGCATGTTAACTATTAATTTAAATACTTTAACTGGGGTCCATTGTTTGGCTTACACAATCATCTTCTAAAACCTTGCTGGACTTTACACATGTATGAAAACTGACTGGCTTGGCCATTTTTTCACACTTCCCATTAATTGCAAATTTAGAAATATTTAATACTGATTATAAAATTTTATCATTATATATCTTACTGCAGGGAAGTAGTCTTCTAAGTGCTCAGGAGTGAAGAACAATTTTTAGCTCTCCTCACAAGCTTTTTTTTTTTTGTAGTACTGGAAGTACAATAAAGAGTTGACAACAGTGCACTTATTCTTTCTATTTTAAAATTTAACACCAGTAAACACTTACCACATATTTTTTCTCCTTTTCCACGGTCTGAGTTCCTGAGATTTTAACACAGGGTAAATCTTCCTCTGTTTTCTCTGGTGAGGTAGTTACAGGTTTTACACTCATTCTGTCTATTTCCTAAAATTAGATCGAAGCATTTACTTCAAAAACTGAGCAGGAATTATTTACAGATACAGTAGTATTATTAGTTATAGTACAAACAGATGATAAAGAACAGGGGTCAAGTGCTTCAGCATGTGACATCCTAGACATTAAAGCTTATAAATGAAATTTCTTAATTTTGTGTTTTAGTGATAGTTGTGATGATGTTCATCAGAATAAAAATTGAAAAACATACTACTTCATTTTCATCCAGACTACAAGTTATCAAGTTTTTTACTGATGAAACAAAAAGGGTGAAGTCTTCTGAAATTATTTAACACATTCCCTTGTTTACAGTTAGTAGCAATGGATTTACTTATAAGGTAGAAGTGACAACTCTGTACAGAAACTGAGGCACAGAACTAAATGTATTTCTTGATGTAGTTTATGCTTGCACAAAGTTTTAATATGATCAGATGAAAGCTATTTTTAAGAAGTAGCAATTTGAAATATGAACAGATGATACTATAAAGCAGGGATTTTTTATGGTGGGGTGCTAATTCTGGCTTATCTTATTGGCTTGGTAGAAACCAGCTAAAACTTTCACCCTTATTTATAAGTGCTGAATGCAAGAAAGTTAACTTTGATCAGTCTGTTGTTAAAAATGAAATCTTTTTGATTTTACTTAATGTCTTGTGTAAATCAGTATTCTAAGGTATACCTTTTCTCTCTCTACACTTACCAGTATTCAATTCTGCATTTAATCCTACTGCAATGATAATTCATGATCTGAACTATTTTGATATAGAATTATAGTTTATTGTGTTTCTTTACACAGTCAAACCTCATTATATTGAATTCTACGGGACCAAGAAAAAACTTAGTTATATTTGAAGAATCAAGGGTAAAATACTTAAAGAATAAGTGGTTGGGACTTTCAAATCACTACATATCCATGGTATTCGAGATATCAGTGTTTGAGATACCAAAGTTCAACTGTATCTTAGGCTCTGGAAGCATCTTTTTTGTTAAGCAGTATGATGACACAAACAGATGGATATTAACAGACAAACAGACAAAATACAGTATGTCTGTGATCTTCAGGGGTGGGAAAAAAAAAACTTCTAGAATTATCTCCTTTAAAATCTTAGACAAGAAGGAGCTTTAAGTTTTACAAATATATCTGGAACCCATTCCATTCTCAAGCAAATCAAATTTATGTGAATTTCTAAACAATGAAAAACAATGATTCTAATAATTACTCAAAGTAAAGATTTTGCCTATTGTTAAAAACTCAGATATACAACTGTACATGTAATAGGTCAATGACCTACCGGTAGTATGTATCAGTTTCAACAGATACAGTATCAATTTATACATACTAGCTAGCATTAAATATAAAATAAACATCAACCATTCAAATTATTATATTTTCCTCATATACTAATGAATAATGTCAGAAAAGTCCAAATCAAATATACAATTCAAATAAATCTAATGACAATTCACAATACCTTGTCTTTCTTCTGAATGAGATGAGCTGATCAGAGGGGTGGGCGTCACCGGAGCATCCTACTGCACCTTACAGGTGTGTGTAATCTAGACAGACTTTGATCACTCAGAGTAAATATTGCCTATCAGTGTTCCATTCATGGGACACACACCAGCATAAAATGCTGCAATTATTATAATGAGATAGACTTAACATCTACACTCAGAGTAAAAATCAACATAAAAAGTTGTTTTCCTTTATAAGAAAATAAAAATTTAAAGAAGCATCAGTTTGTACTCTTAGGGGATTATGTTATACTCCGATTGATCTCAAAATTATTTCATGTACTATATTACACACTGCATGTAAGATAAAGACAATACTTTCTACTCGTAAGATAAAGGCAATGATTTCCATGGCTTTCTAATCATAACTCTTTATAGCTTCATGTATTTTCTCCATTCATTCCATAGGCGTTGGAAGCAAATTGAAAGTGGGGGGGGGGGGGGGGGCTAATTGAAAGGGGGGGGTTGAACCAACAAAAAAAGGAAAAGGGTAAGCCCCAATTTTCAATGCTTATATTATGTCTATCTTTACAAAAAAAAAGGGGGGCTAAGCCCCCTTATCCCCTCCCCAGTTCTGACGCCTATGCATTCTTATCTCTCTTCCATTTTCTACTCTGCTGGTTGATGTTTCTTTTTCGAATGTCAAAAAAACATTTTCCTAATGACAAATGCTCTGGCTTTTCTGTGTGAAAATGAAGTTGAGTCAACATGTCAGATGTATTGCTATATAGTCTACTAACTAGAGAATGTATTAATTAAGTTACAGGAGGGGATCTATTCTACTACAGAAAATTCATTATTGTCATGTAATAGGGATGAGGTGATTTGTAAGAAGTTCTAAGAGGTTTCAGATTTATAACTGTATTATAATAATAAACAATAATCCATAAGCATCACACAGTCATTTGAGTATCATAGAGAAACTTTCTCCTTCATAACTGTCTTAAACCACATTCATTTCATACACAATCTTTTCAGTGTGTCTGGGGTCTTAAGCCACTTCCATTTCATACAAAAGCTTTTCAATGTCATTTTTCTCTGTCATAAATCAAATGGGCTGAGGCTAATTGTGTCAAAGGGTTGCTGACCCCAACCTCTGGTCAGGACTAACCCTTAGGTAGGGGCCACTGATGTTTCACATTGACTAATTTTTGGCTTTGAAAAGAAATTCATAATGAATCCCTTTGATGTCCACAAACATCAATCAAGTTTGAAACAGAACTATCAAATATTAACCATCTCTGTTCTTAATTTAGCATTTAAAAGTTACAATGTATCAAATATTTTAAAGTTTTGAGATAGACAGAAAAGGTAACTCTTATCCCTAGTCTACAGGAGACATGAGTGTAATTATCAGAATACAGACGTCCCTAGTCTACTGGAGACAGGAGTGTAATTATCAGAATACAGAGGTCCCTAGTCTACAGGAAACATGAGTGTAATTATCAGAATACAGACATCCCTAGTCTACTGGAGACATGAGTGTAATTATCAGAATACAAACATCCCTAGTCTATAGGAGACATGAGTGTAATTATCAGAATACAGACATCCCTAGTCTATAGGAGACATGAGTGTAATTATCAGAATACAGACATCCCTAGTCTACTGGAGACATGAGTGTAATTATCAGAATACAGACATCCCTAGTCTACAGGTGACATGAGTGTAATTATCCGAATACAGACATCACTAGTCTACAGAAGACATGAGTGTTATTATCAGAATACAGAGGTTTCTAGTCTACAGGAGACATGAGTGTAATTATCAGAATACAGATGTCCCCAGTCTACAGAAGACATGAGTGTAATTTTTAGAATACAGACATCCCTAGTCTACAGGAGTCAAGAGTGTAATTATCAGAATACAGACATCCCTAGTCTATAGGAGACATGAGTGTAATTATCAGAATACAGACATCCCTAGTCTACAGTAGACATGAGTGTAATTTTCAGAATACAGACACCCCTAGTCTACAGGAGACATGAGTGTAATTATCAGAATACAGACATCACTAGTCTACAGACTTCACTAGTCTATAGGAGACATGAGTGTAATTATCAGAATACGGACCTCCCAAGTCTACAGGTGACATGAGTGTAATTATCAGAATACAGAGGTCCCTAGTCTATAGGAGAAATGAGTGTAATTATCAGAATACAGACATCCCTAGTCTACAGGAGACATGAGTGTATTTATAAGAATACAGAGGTCCCTAGTCTACAGGAGACATGGGTGTAATTATCAGATTACAGACGTCCCTAGTCTATAGGAGACATGAGTGTAATTATCAGAATACAGATATGCCTAGTCTACAAGAGACATGAGTGTAATTATCAGAATACAGACATCCCTAGTCTACAGGAGACATGAGTGAAATTATCAGAATACAGACGTCCCTAGTCCACAGGAGACATGTGTGTAATTATCAGAGTACAGACAATCCTAGCCTACAGGAGACATGAGTGTAATTATCAGAATACAGACATCACTAGTCTACAGACATCCCTATTCTATAGGAGACATGAGTGTAATTATCAGAATACAGACATCACTAGTCTACAGGAGACATGAGTGTAATTATCAGAATACAGAGGTCCCTAGTCTACAGGAGACATGAGTGTAATTATCAGAGTACACACACCCCTAGTCTACAAGAGACATGAGTGTAATTATCAGAATATAGACATCACTAGTCTACAGACATACCTAGTCTATAGAAAACATGAGTGTACATATCAGAATACAGACACCCCTAGTCTACAGGAGACATGAGTGTAATTATCAGAATACAGACACCCCTAGTCTACAGGAGACATGAGTGTAATTATCAGAATACAAACATCCCTAGTCTATAGGAGACATGAGTGTAATTATCGAATACAGACATCCCTAGTCTACAGACATCCCTATTCTATAGGAGACATGAGTGTAATTATCAGAATACAGACATCCCTAGTCTAGAGGAGACAGGAGTGTAATTATCAGAATTCAGATATCCCTAGTCTACTGGAGACATGAGTGTAATTATCAGAATACAGACATCCCTAGTCTACAGGAGACATGAGTGTAATTATCAGAATACAGACATCCCTAGTCTATAGGAGACATAAGTGTAATTATCAGAATTCAGATATCCCTAGTCTACAGGAGACATGAGTGTAATTATCAGAATACAGATGTCCCTAGTCCACAGGAGACATGAGTGTACCGTATATACTCGCCTATAAGTCGGTCCGCCTATAAGTCGGATGTGATTTTTGAGGTTATTTTGGAGGGATTTGCCATTGACCAGCCTATAAGTCGGTACAACTTTTTGCCAGGATCGATGGACAATTTCAAATCAATGCTCTAATGTTTTAACATGTGTTTCAAATAATATTTTATCTCTCTTTTTTCTTATAAATTTCATATCAATACTCTAATGTATTTACCTGTGTTGAAATAATATGTTAGGATATGACATCGGTAATTAATATTTTTATTTTTCAACAAACCAAACCACTACCATTTTAGTTTCTTTCTATACTGTTTTGATTAAGCGTTAAATCCCTTGTCTTGTATATTTTATACATCGATCTCGATCATTGGCGAATCCCTGTTTCTTTGGCATGGTGATGAACTGTGTAACGAGTCTACCAACATTTTGATGATATTTAATTAGGGGGTGCTCATTGTCCAAGCCATATCTATAGTTTTTAATAATGCTATGTTTGATCTTTTATTAGCAACTATCGTCTCTTAATTACCTGTATCCCTTACCTGACACCATGTTTATTTAGGGGCACGCGCCCCGAGAAAATTGTGTACCACACTTGGGAAGCATTTTCATAAACAATCGAGTTTTAATAGACTCCAGAATAATATTCTGAATTATTTTTTTAAGAATATCAAATCTGTTGTCAAAAACATTGCAGACGGTACATATAATTATACATTAATGCTAAACGTATTATATCGGGTTCGCAATTCCATTTTACCGATAAACGATAGATTTACAGTAAGTCACAAGTTAATTAAAGAAATATTTTTGTTAATAATTAATCAAATAAATAATATACACTTAGATCAAAATAAAATCATTAAAACATGTAAATACTTTTACTTTATATATAATCTTAGAATAGATAAATAATTTAATACGTCCAGACATTTCTCAACGATAATCGTCGAAGTTATGTAAAAAATACTACATTTCGTCATCCAGAAAAATAACAAGCTTTTGATGACTCGCCTATAAGTCGGACATAGAGTTTTGGACCAAAAGTTAACTCCCAAAAAACCGACTTATAGGCGAGTATATACGGTAATTATCAGAATACAGACATCCCTAGTCTACAGGAGACATGAGTGTAATTATCAGAATACAGACATCCCTAGTCTACAGGAGACAGGAGTGTAATTATCAGAATAAAGAGGTCCTTAGTCTATAGGAGACATGAATTTTATTATCAGAGATGACATTAAAAAAAATGAAATATACATTTTTCAATTTGTATATTAGCATTTTATTGCTTCTAATTTTCATGAATTATCATATGAAGCATTTCATTTTATTTTTTATTTGCTTGTTTGTTTATTTGCTTTGTTTTTGTTTGTTTCTTTTCATTTTTTTTTTTTTTTTGGCATTAGGTAAATTTTCAAAAATCTAAAAGAATGTTTTTAATCACCAAAGCTAAGGTGATAAGGATAAGTATGTACCAGAATATTGGTAACAGACCACTCCATGTGAATTGTGTTAGCTTGTCTAAGGTGAATGAACCTACATGTCAGCCACATTCCTCTTCCCTTTTGGGAAAAGATACTTTGTATAGTAGGAAAAAGTAATGACCAAATACACAAATAAAAATATACAAAAATTATGGCACAACCAGGAATGGACCCCTGCATTACTAGTAGTTATAAAGCCAAACTTACCACACAAGCAAGGCTCATCCCTGAGTGAACTTTCCCATACTTCCTGGGCATGGGATGGTACTACCTGTAACAGGTAGTGAGGAAGTGCCACAGCCAGACCACAAGTACCTGTAACCCAGACCACGATTTGAATCCAGGCCCCCTGAACTCTAGTCATGCGCTCTTCCGACAATCTGGCATATGGAAAACAAACATGTCTGATCACCACAATATCAATAAATGAACATATCCTAACCTTGGCAGTGTTAATCTTAAGGAATCCTATACAGAATTCATTGGTAATAGCGAGCGCAGCGAGCGGCGCAAAGCATCGCTCGCCACTGCGAGCTCTAAGAACAACGTCTGGGTGAAGAGAAAATTCGGACTACTGCACATTCATTCAATAGAATTTTTCCACAGTAATTCTGGACCCACAATGCATCTCTTGTTGTTCTCGCTGCTAACTTCGTTCGTGTGGTAACAACAACTAAAAATTCACAAAAAATAAACTCACCTTAATTTAATGGATATTGCATACAGATAGTAGATTAAACATTCTTTGTTAAAATTTTTGCACTTTTCAAACTTCGTTTATGGAAATGCAGCTATAACATACGACGTCATGTGACATCACAGTATAGACATTCCAAATGTCTCGTGCGGTTTGAAGACGCGGATCTTAAAATTAAGTGAACAATGCACTCACCCCAACAGTCACACCATCAACATATTATGCTCCGAGAAGTCAAAATTCTGGCATTAATTGCCCTATCGAAACAATTAACTCATCTACTTCTCAAAGTGAATCATACACACTGATCAGTTTTAATCCTTTCAAATAAATTTTACTTAAAAGTAACCAGAATATTTAGAATGAATTTTCTCCAAATTTTTAAATATTTTCATTTTTGGCATCTGATCCACAGGCACTTGAATTGCATGTGATCTGATGCAAAAAAAGTTTATATTTAACATGTTCATGCTACACATGTATTACAGGTCAGATTCAACATCCAGAGCAAGATAAGTAATATGCATTCATCAATGACATCTTATATAAAAAGAGACCCGAGACAAAAACTTTAAACATGACTTGAAAATAGATAATACATAATTACATGATAATACATGATTACATGCCTTTCCATACACATCGTGATGTGTAAATTTCAATCGGGCTCGGGAAACGGATGCGGTGTATAGGTGAATCGTGCTTTAAGATTTTAGCACCACAAGATCTTTTCTGTAATATGTGAATTGAAAGTATGTTTTATTATATATGATTCTTAACAAGTAAAAACTACATCAGTAAGAAAATATTGATTAATAAGAATCGCTACAGATGCTTTTAAACTGATATATAAGCTTGAATTCGAATTTGAATGAGGGGCAAAAATATTACGATTACAAAATGACAAATCCATTTCCCATGATCCTAAGCGTAAATAGTTTTGATATGGCGCCGACAACAGAGGTAATAGGACTTTTTTCATGCTTTATGTTTGGATTTTTTGTCAGATTCATTTTATTTTGTTACATAATTTTTTATTTTCTCTTTAACTTTATTCGATTTATTCCTTTGGAATGAAATGATTTCAAATAATCGCTTTAAATACGAAATATTTAAAGATGTATATCTGTTGTCATGCAAGCTGTATTCTCCTCTAGGCAGATAACGGATTGTTGTAGAAGGTGGTCACTGTAAGAAATAAGCTTTGCTGAGGAAAGATTTGTCACAATGAAAAAACTGCATATATGGCACATTCATGTGCAGCAATGGATTTAGTAAATTGTTTCATTAACATATAGTTTGGGAGATTAAGATGATTGAAATGAAGTATAAGGTTGATTTTTTTGTACTTATATTTTTTTTGTCTGTAAAATGCTTACGATTTTAAATGGCATAAAACTGGTGTGAGTCAAATTATTGATACACATAATTGCCTTTTATTGATTTCTTGTAATTTAAAAGGGAATAATGTCTGCTTGTAATGTATCATGTATATGTCACACTTAAACTGCTCAAGATTGTGACCCCTTTGAGTCCTACCAATTGTTTAAAATGTATAAAGAGTGCTTATTAGTCAGCAGTACAAAGGCACTCCATAAAATTTACTAATTATGTTTTTTTTTTTTAATTTTCATAAACTTTATTTGAATAAGATTCATAAGTTAATGACCAGTGATCAATGAATTTTATTTAATTTAAACAATATTTTATTATGATTAAACATAACTGGATTGGACAGCAGGCACTGCCTATATAAGTCCTTTTATTTTATTGCTATACCTTTCATGTTTATACTGTGGGTCAATAATATGGTATATCACTTTTGCTTCAAGTTGGTCTTGTTTCATTTATAAATTTTAATAAACATTTCCAACAGCATAGCATCTTCTTCATTGGTATCAACTCGATGTCAAAGAGACTCTACTTTGAATTTCATTAAAACTTTTGATTCATGAATCATGATAATTTAAAATTACATGTAGACTGTCAAATACTGTCTTGAATGATCATATAATTATATGTAGGGTATGGATGAAAAAGCTCAAAGAAATGTCATAGTTTTTAATCAGTCAAAAAGTGAAGTGTTCTCTCCTAATAATGGATTGAAGTCATTAAACAGAAAGCTACGTTCAACATGGAAGATTCAAAGGTTTGTTTCATTTTAATCTCTTACAGACTAATTCTTTAATAAGTTGTTTCAAGATTTTATATTTGCATGTTTACATCACATTAAAACAATTTTTTTTTTCATTTTCTTTTTTTCAGCAACAAATCAGAAATAACTTCAGAGACATTATCTTCAGCGAGTATATTTGTATTATGTGGTAGCAGAGAAAAATTCACAGGCTCTGAGGTAAGAATGTTTACTCATTGAAAAATGTCTTTGCCTATCTACAGATCTATGTATTTTAACATAAGATGATAAGAAATTATAAATAATTGCTCATTCTTATTTTATGGACCAAATTGCAATAACATATTAAACAAGTTTACAATTCCATTCTTTTTGACATATGAATAAAAGTATTTAGTTTGCAAAAAAACATTACAACTTTATATACCATAGAACTGTTTAATATATCTATGCATTTGAATTCAAAACTATATATATTGTATATATGCTGTCTTCCTAACAGTTGGAATCTATAAAGCGTTACATTGATGGTGGAGGGAGTGTCTTTGTTCTCCTGGGTGAGGGAGGAGAAACACGCTTTGAAACCAACATTAATTTCCTTTTGGAGGAATATGGAATCATGGTGAATAATGGTATGGAAGGTTTATCACATGTTTAAAGTAAAAATTATTTAAAATAATATGGCTTATCAGATTATTACTTAATACCATAAAACACACTTAGTGATGAATAATTTTGATTTGTTATATCTGATAACTTTTTAAAACTAAAGGGAAAATCACTTTGCTGTGAGCATGAATGAATTATAAGTGTGTTTGTTGTAACTGTGTTTTATTGTAATAAATATGAAATGCAATAACTTGAGTTTTTTAGACCTGCAGACTAGATCTTAGTAGTAATAGGCATTTAGGGTGCTTGGAATAAGGCACCTTTAGAAGTATGAGTTCAAACTCAAAAGCTTAATAATTTTGTTAAGATTATTACACATTCATATAAGGAATAGGACCTTTTATGATGTAGGTCAGAGACCAGAAGAGCTTATGTGATGGTAAGGTGTCCATCATCCGCCTGTCTGTCTGTTCGTCTGTAAACAATTTTTCAAAATGCTACTCATCATACTGTTTTGGTCTGATTTCAATATAACTTTGTACACAATAAACTACACTTAGATACATAATTCTTTTTATTGGTTTTGATGAACTGTGTTGGCATGGTTACTACATGTACAAATAGAAATTTCTGTGAAATTCTCATGCTACAGTTTTTTTTCCAATTGCAATTAAACTTCACTCAGAAAGACACTAAAATAATGATCACTATTTTATTAATTGCTGTTGCCATAGTTTCAAGTCCCAAGTGTTACCTTTTGTTTAGTAAAAAACCAGTAGAGCTACAGTCTCGTCAGAGACTTCTGGTTTTATAGTTTGTCATAATAAATGCTTATGTGTACTGCAGTACATAAGTGTTACTTTAAAATTATTTCTTTGTTTACAGATGCGGTAGTGAGAACTTCATACTACAAATATTTTCACCCTAAAGAAGCACTAATAGCTAATGGTGTTTTAAACAGGTCAGAATCAAACATAAAATAATCTGTAAGAAAAATTAGTATTTTGTAAATATTTTCTTTGTGTATCTTTTATAATAGATGATTATGTGTGTAAGACTTGTATTATTTATATTGTATTGATGATTGATGTATAGGGCAGTAAGCCAGGCTGCAGGGAAGACTTTCTCTATGGATGAAGATGGGAACAATGCTCAGTAAGTTAATGCTGGAGAAAGCCTCAATATGAGATAGTGTTATTAGATGAGATCATCTGCTGATTTTGTTACTTGTGTATTTACAGGGCCTTGTCCTTCCTGTATCCCTATGGAGCCACCCTGAACGTGATGAAGCCTGCCACAGCTCTCCTCTCTACAGGCTCTGTATCCTTCCCCCTCAACAGACCAGTCTGTGCCCTGTATGAAAACAGGGTATGTTGTGATATATCGATTCCTTAAAGTTAGCGACATTGTCAGCATACAAGATTATACAAAGTTATTCCTAAGTAACTGTAAGTCTTACCCAGACCAAACTTGATGGGGTGATGCATATAAGAATACTACTACCAGTAGTGCTTTGGTTTTATTTTCTGGATGAGTGGCTGGGCTAAAGTTTTTTAAGCAGCTGCATATCAAATGGTATGTAAACCTACCAGGACCAAACGTGCAAGGATGGTGTATCTAAGAATGCTACCTTAATTTCATAAATGCTGCATCTTATATTTTTCCAGTAGGTGACCTTTTTAAAGATTTTTTTCTTCATCTTTTTATTCCCATACAAAATGAAAACAGTTTGCTTTTCTCTTGATTTCAGAACCGTGGAAAATTGGTGGTGTTGGGGTCTATCCATATGTTTAGTGACCAGTACATAGACAAAGAAGAGAATAGCAAAGTTCTGGTGAGACAAGGATTTTTCTGTCAGTTTTTAGGATTACATTCCACACATCACCTCATTATTTAGGGTAGTTTACATTACAACATTGTTTTTCTCAGGATGTTCTGATTCGAGCGTTGACTTCAGATGAAATAAAACTGAATCCTATTGATGCGGAGGATCCAGAGGTCAGTTCTACTGATTGTTTACGTTATTATTGCATGTTTGAATGATTATACATGTATTACATGTTTTATCCACTGGCTTTTTTTTTTTCTTTAAATACCAAACAAACATAATACAATGTACCTTGTTCAGGAGTTTGTTGACATGTTTTTTTGCAGATCTCAGATTATAACATGCTGCCAGACATTGCTAAGTTAGCCGGACAATTAAAGACCTGTCTACAGGAGAGTGATGATGTACCCAGAGACATCACAATGTTGTTTGACAACTCCTTATTCAAACTGGACACCAGCCTTGTCCCCAAAGCCATCAAGTAAGTTCTGGCTTTCTGATGAAATACTGTTAATCAGGAAAATTTTAGGTCCAATTATTTATGTGAATTATTCGCGGCATATTTTATTCGCAATTCGTCAGTTTTAAATCAATCCCCGGCGATTAATGTTTGTGACTAAATGTAGGTCGCGAAACTCGCAAATATTTCTTGCACACAAATAAAAGTTGGTTTACAGCATAAATTTCCAGATTTATGGTACAACACTGACAGAGCTTGAAATTTAAATATGGATATTCTATAGATTAATTTAAGGGTATTTTTCAAATGTTTTATCTTAAAGAAAAATTTATTTTGGTATTTTCTGCCTGCCAGCGCTGTTATCCATGTATTTTGAAATTGCTTTGTAATCATTGTGCACTATTGTTTTTTTAGGGCATTTGAACAGCTGAATGTGAAGCACGAGCCTCTCACCCTTATAACCCCCCAGTTTGAAACTCCCCTACCCCCATTACAGCCAGCCGTGTTCCCTCCTCAGTTTAGAGAATTGGAACCTCCCAAACTAGACCTGTTTGATCTTGATGAACAGTTCTCTTCAGAAAAAGTTAGAATAGCTCAGCAAACAAACAAATGTAAGTCAGAATAACAACCAAAAACTTAACAGAAATTCACACCCAAATGTACTTGTAAAACTGAATTTATAAGATATATTGCAATGTAAGTAACAGAATATAACCCCTTGAATATAATTGTAAAACTGCATTTATAAAATTTATTGCACTGGTAGTAACAAATTCACCCCTCAAATATACTTGTAAAACTGCATTTATAAGATACAGTCAAACTTTGCTTCAAACTCAATGGAACCAAGAAAAAACTCCAAAGATATCTGAGGATTCAAGATATCGAGGATAAGATACTTAAAAAAGTGGTTGGGACCTCCAAATCACTTCGACATATTCATGGTATTTGAGACATCAGTGTTCGAGATACCGAAGTTCAACTGTATATTGTACTGGTAGTAAAGACCCTGGGACAGTTAAAAAAGACCGACTCAAATTACAAGTTTAATGCTTGATACATTTATCTTAAAAATACATGTACAATGAAAAACACAAATTTTTTTTAATGGAATCTACTTTTTTGTCATCAGGCACTGATGATGATTTGGAGTACTATGTTAGAGAATGTGGTGATATCCTTGGCGTTACTTCTAATTTACCACAGGATTCAAGAGATGCAAAACATGTATTAGAATACATCTTCACTCAGGTTGTGGAATTCAAGAAATTGAATCAGGTATTTCTAAATACTATGTTTATTTTGGAAACGATATATGATAATTTCTTGCTTTGTTAAATCCTATTTGAATTACTATAAACATTCTTATTCTAGCACTTACCATATTTTAGCACCTTTCAAGCTGCTTCATGTCCGCTAATTTTAGTGCACCCTAATACATGATTTAAACTAATACTTGTTGTTTTCAAGACTTCAATGGGCGAAATAAGATTACATTTATCTGTTAAAGAGGAGGATTGTGCTAAATTTTGAGTGTACCAATTTATGTACAATTACAGTATATGTAAAGTGTAGACTTAGAAATATGAAGACATGAATTCCTGTCTTGTAGGAACAGGATTACGACACCACTCAGTTTGGAGGAGGCGGAGGCTACGATCAATATTAATAGTTTAAATCGACCTGACACATCTGGAGTGACTTATATTTTTATTGATGACATGCCAGCTCAGACTCCTGCTGTAATGTTGACTATCTGTGATAACTCTGGTTGTGTGATGATAATCTGGTTGTGTCATTTTGTGCTACAATCCACAGAAATTAGATCTGACAGTTTAACTTATGCTCTGGAATATCCTAATGACTAGAATATTTTCAAAGTTCCAAACTTTCATTTCATTACAATAGTATGATGTTTGTGAGAACAACTGGTAGAATTATGACTTGAAATTTCATGCGAGTTAAATAAAATGAAGACCTTCTGTTCAGATTTTCTTATTTTGATATTCAGTTGTATGTAGTTAGAGTATATGTGGTCTGAAGATGTACTGTTTATAAAAAGGAGAGAGGATGGGACTTTACTTGTAATTTTGGATGTTGCATCTTAGGGGAGGGGAGGGGGTGTTCAATCAAATTCAGGCCATTTTCATTTCAGAGAAATGAAGTGCTATATGTATCTAGAATTATTGTACAAATTGAATATAATATAGGAATATTACATCATATTTTTCTCTTATTTTATGGTCTATGTTTTATGTAGGTTCATTGAAAGGATCAGAAAATCAGAGTGACTAAGCACTGATGAGCAAAAATTCAGTAAAGTCAATTGTGAATGACACATTTATTTCAATAATTTACAAACATAACAATAGTGTGTCCCACTAATGATGAACACAGGTCACACATTGACTTTGGCTGTTAAAATATTACTGAGACTGTTTATATTTACTAGATTTTCTGAAGAAAATGATTCTAAATTTAAAAAAAAAAAAAAAATTTAAAATCATATATTTATATATAGGATCTCCCATGATTTGTAGTTGGATATGATTTTTATCCAACGAGTTGTGTGTTTTTTTTTTATCCCCGAGCCTTGGCGAGGGGATAAAAACACACGAGTTGGATAAAAGTTGTATCCAACTACAAATCATGGGAGATTCTTTTTATCCCATGTTCAATACTTCACAACCAATGTTTGACACTGTTTTATATAGGACTCCACTTTATTTTACTTCATCACGCTAACGCAAAAACCATTGTGACGTCACAACTGCACTTAACTGTGGAATAGGAAAAAATTATCCAATAAGTCATATCCACGGGATAAAGGGGTAAACATGGGATAAAATTGTTTATGATACATGTAATGAAGTTCTTGCAAAAAATAACAAAGAATGAATAGAAAATACCTGTAAATATTACAGCATACAAGTTAAAATATATTTAATGAAGTTCATGTGAAAAATAACAAAAATGAAATATCTGAAATATTAAAAAAGTATTGAGAATGTTTGAAATGATGATGCAATTAATGTAAGCAAGTAAGTGTTAGACAATATACAAGTGTGAACACAGATGGCAGCTTTCTTTGTCGGTGCTGACAATATGGAAATCTAATAATTTAATATGAACAAAATGAAGTATGGTCTCCATTCACGGCAGCCTACATAACTTGCCAACTGTTTTACAATGTTCAAGACAATTTTTATCACAATAAAGCCCACAATCCCTAAATTTGTGTCATGTTATAAAATAATAGTGTCTACTTGTCCCCTCATACAAGTATACAAAGTGATGATAAAGGCACATAACATACACAGCTCAATATAGAACCGAAAATGGCAGGAATTTTACCAAGTACATTAACAATAAGGGAGATGACCCTGTAAACATCTACATATGAAGAAGGATTTGAAGTCAGAGGTTATGCTGAACTCATAAAAAAAACTCTCCGTGCTACATGTAAGTACTCAGCATAGAAATGGTATATAAATCAAATACTGCAGACTTTTTTTTATAAGGATATACATTTTTGCCATATCTTAAATCTCCAGGTGGTAGTACATATATGTATACATATATATTCATTTTCATTATATAATAAAATCGGTAATTGGCACAAAGTACTTGTTTAAGTTTTACACACTTGGGAAAGCCTGGTTAACTGACTTAACAAATGCATAGTAAGCATCTGATGTCAGATTTATGGTCACGTTGCTTTTTCCCCGTATGTAAACTGGCTTAATCTATAACGTGAAATTTTCCAGCAATCTCATAATGTTATCAGTACTGTGTTACTAATAGCAACAAGGTTAGTGTGAAAGCAAATACTATGGCAACATGGAATACAAGGAGAAGCTTCTTAATGGTACTGTCCTGCAGAAAAAAAGAGAGAAATAAGTATGCATATTTTTAATGATTTTCTATTAATAGTTTAAGAACACACTAATTAATATGAGTATTGTTATTCAAAGATTATTATAGACCAGTACACTGTAGGAAATTTTTGAGCAGTAGAGACTTCTCCTCCCAAAAGGACTGGCAAATTTTGGATGAATTTTTAGCTATTTCTCTGTAAAATGTACATTTGATTATTTAATAGACTTGCACTTTTTATCCCCTGACAATGAAGTTTGCATGAAGAGAAATAATAATATGCTTGTGAGTGTATAAGTGGGTGGGTGAGTTTGTGCATAAGAATAATTTATATTGGGATGGATGTGGTCTCTTGCGAGGGGATGCTCCGCTTTGCAGTGCCCTTGTTAAAAAATTGCATACTCTGGTAAGTACTGTTCTTTTAAATAAATCAGATTTGATTGGTGAGTTTTATAGTTGAAATTCTAACCTTTGGATCTCGTTTTGGTTCCTCTGGTCTAAAGGAATTTCCATTTAATGTTGTTCCATTTCCATTTTTCATCTCCATCTGTTCTATTCTAGCTGTTAAGGTAGAATATTTTAATGAAAATTAGAATTGTGATGGATGTCAGGTGTGATTTAGAAATTTTACAAAAATAATTATAAATTCGTACCTGTGTTTTGCCTATCAGCAAATAAGTCGTATAATTTTAGCATTATCTCCATCAGGATGTGGTAAACAATATATCCTACCACAACGTAGACTGTGTATTTGGGTGCCCCAACCTTTTGTAGCTCAACACCAAAACAAATAGTGATAACTAGGAAAGAGAAAGCAAAATTTCAGATAACTGGTACATTTTTTCCCCATAGAAATAATATACAGTAATCAAAACATTTTTTGTGATACATGTATAGTATTGCTAGCCTTTAAATTTGAAATGTTTTGATTTCTTTTTTGCGCAGATTGCTGTTAAGGTAAAGAAAAAGGTTCTTACCTGCAAGTATATGAGCAGCCATGCCCACAGCTAAGTGGGCCCAGTTAAAAATTGGACGATTTTTGTCTTTTGGGCCGGGCCGAAACAGTGCCATAACGGGCTGTAAGTAATTAGCCAGATTTTGTATATTACAACATAACAAAAATCAGTAAATTTAAATTAGAATTTATATTGTAATCTCATGAATGTCAGTTAATTAGAGTAGATACTTACATTGGCCACTACTAAGATGGTGACGATAATACCAAGTATAGGATGACTCTGTAAGTAAGCCTTGCCAATTGGAGCAGAAATCTAGGGTAAAAAAGAAGTATTTAGTTTCTAATATATTTTCCTTCTTATTCTGCAAATTGTTTTTGAGGATGTTTATCTAAAATGAGGAACATTTAATTTTCCAACATACTTTGCTGTAACCATTGGCTTCCACAAATATGATGATGAATCCAACCAGAGTCAAGACCAGAGTTGTCACCATAAGACCACGATGGAACTGTAACAGATATAGCTAGTCACTCAGTAAAGGTCATCTAAGCCATCACCTACCAAGTTATGAAGACACTGAAAAGTTATTATTTATATACATGTCTCACCTGAAACCAGACTTTGAGTCCAAGGATGGTGCGATCAGACCAGACAGGCTTGTAGAAACGAGCAAAAATCAGACCAACACCAGTACAAAAAATCCAGGCCAGAATCATCAGGCAACCTAAACAAAGAAACCCAGTAATGATTAGATAAACACATTAGACATACCAATAACTCACACAGAACTTAAAAACATTTCTCAGTAGGAACACGGATATAGCGAATTCACGGTAAAAGCAAAGTTTTTTTGAATCCCTGGCAAAATTCTTAACAAATCTTGGGAAAATATTATGGTTATAACAAACTCTGATACAACAAATTTACGGATATAGCGGACTGATTTTTTGTCCTGTAGAGGTTAAAAATAACAAAAATTACATCTTTTATAAGGAATTTTCAATATCTTAAAATTTGAATATTTACGGGTATCTGACATTATTTTTCATCCGTATTTATATTTGAAATTCAATTCATCAGAAATCTTTAGTACCCTAAGGAAAATTTTGTACTTAATACCTCCCAGAAGATATTTGGTACTCATATTTGAAAGGAAAAATGCATAGTGCAAATTCATTATTTATACTTTAACAAATTTATTATTTGGATATAATGAATTCCAGATTAGTGAAGAAAATTCACAGGTCCCTAGGACTTCGCTATAACCGAGTTTCACTGTACAATAATTTTTGTAGTTTCTAGACAACAGCACATTATGAATATTGAGATAGTCTGTCTAAATATGATTGAAAATAATGAGTTTTGAACATACCATGAACTTTAACAAGTGGATACCTAGCCACATCACCAATTATATTTGTGGATCTGATGTCCACTGAATGTGGTGTAACAACAGGATTCACTGTATGCATCCCTAGCATATCTGAAAGAGGAAACAGGAATATGGAAAATATGAAACTTCTCTGATTTTTACAAATAAATAGTTTGCATTTGCAGCACTTCAAAACTAAAAGAGTAAAACAAGAAATGGCAGTGAGTTAACCTCCGAATGCTTGTCCGTCCCCCAGCATGATGTGACGATGATGACTTAGATCTATCATTGGTCGTGTGGTGGCCTGTCTCTTCCTTTTGTTGCTCTGGTCAGATACCTGGGAGTATCTAAAGGAACACCTGAATACTCCATCTCTGTATGATCCGGTGGTTCTAGATATACCCTCATGTGGCTGTAAGTACACAAATGTCAATCTCTGTCATATTGGTGAGCTTTTTGACATTTATCCTAATCTATGTAAAATTTAATTAAATTTTTAATATTAGATGCAAACCTGTAATTTGGTAAGTTGTACAGATTTTACGTAATGAAAGATTAATTTGAAGCACTGTAGATCACCAAATTTTCATGACACCTTATTTTTGAGAGTTATTTGGTGATTTTAAAAAGGAGAAAAAAAATCATAATTTTTAGCTCATCTGAGCCAAAGGCTCAAGTGACCTTTTTTGGTCAAAATTTGTCCCTTGTTTGTCATAATCATAAACTTTTCTCATTTTCATCATCTTCTCTGGAACCACTAAGCAGTTTCAACCAAACTTGCTACAAAGCATCCTTAGGTGAAGCAGATTCAAGTTTGTTCAAATAGAGGGCCACACCCTCTTTCAAGGGAGAACATTAAAGAATAAGTGACAATTTAATTTAAGTGATTACTTACATTATGGATCGGCTGATTACTGGTCTCCAAGTTGAATGACCTTCCCACCATCACATGACCAGCAGCATCACTTATACAGTGTAAAACGTCATCATGACCCTGCAGAAAGAAGAACAAAAAATGCATGAAGTTCCTAAAACCAATTTTAAAAATGCACAAATATTTCTCTTACTGTGAAGGTTTTTTTGATGCAGAAAGTTACAGAGAAAGCAAAGAAAATCATGCAATTTGATAAACAGTTACTCACCATTTTCTTGTCATCAGAGAACCCTATAGCCACCCATTTTTGTCCTCCCCCTCCCCCCAGTATTACTCGTTCAATGGAGAAGTCGACGTAATCTGGGTGGTAGTGCCACGAGGCTACATACTGACATGCTGTCCCCTGACAGTTTACAAAACATCCCCAGGTATCCCCACATCTGGCGTCCATCATCAAAGCCCCCGTCACTGGAGCCTGGTAAATAAAGAGATTTCAGGATTATTTCATACTGTGGTATAATATTTCAGTTGCTCTAAAGTTTTTTTTTCTGGTTGCTGAAAATTTCATTCAGTTTCAAAAATTCGTACATTCTGTGGTATTACTTTTCTCCATTTAGTACATGAATAATACTTTTAAGAAAATTGATCCACAATTTTGTAGAATTATTTTTCTTTTGAATTTATATTAACATCTAAGAAAACAGAAAAAAAAAAATTATTCACACAGAAGGGGAAAAACTGTATTTTTATGAATATAAATTGATTTTTTAATCTTAAAAAATGAAAATCTTTATTGCATTAAATTTCCTCATGTTAATTGCAAGTACCTTGAAATATGAACTTAGTACATGAAGTGTGTGACATTTTGTATTTTAAACTGATGTAAGAAGAATACATGTACATGTATAGGGTTTTAGAATTTTTATGATCAAGAAGTTTCAAGAGATATCAATGGTTCATAATATAAGTTCTACTGAGTACAAAGTTATAGTTACATACATATATATTACAAATACCAACAAAACTTCTATATACATTTATATATTATAGATTTTCAAGAAGAATACAAAATGTAAATGCATACTAATTACACAAAGTTAGCACAACAAAAGACTCTATCAGAAATCACCAGAAACCTAGTACATACTATTTAATTCTACTAGTACCACGACTACTAGTACCACAACTTAAGAAAGAGCAAGGTTTAACACTAGGGCTTTATTTGTCCCTCAGAGAATGTTGAAAATTAAAAACTATTTTTAGTGGACTACACTTAAAATACAAAGGTGACATTATATATATTTACTCATGAATTACATCATTTTTCTTTTTTCTAGAAAAATTATTCCAAAAGTTGTTTTTTCAATATTTTGAATAGAGCACACTTAACCTATGATCCAAAAAGTACAAGTATGTAAAGATAGAACTGAAGTTTATAAGGTGATGCCTGTTTTATCCAACATTCACTAGAGTACTATTAATTTTGTGTCGGGATAGACAGGATGTGGGATTACAGTGTGAAGAATAATAAAGTGGGATGAAAATAAAGGACAGAATTCTCAGTGAAATGGATTGTACAAGTGTCAGATTAGCCAGTTTTTACTGTAAAACATCTTTTATATTTTTTATCAAGATATGTGCTTATATTTGAATTATTTGTTGAATGAACTTTAAAAAAAAGGTCAGTTTTCTGTAAAATTCATGAACATTGCAATTTCACAAAGCCTGTTTTCCACTGAACTCTCAAAAGTAAATTTCTTGTATAAAATGTTAAGTCTCTGCTTAATATTCATGTCTGTACTGGGATATAGAGTGATATTCCATGAATTCAGTGGTCTATAGGGTCTGTAGCCATTTATGTATAAAGAAAACCTAGCTCTTTCTCTTATAAAGCCATCATATTCATAATGCTAAAGAGTGTCCATGATAAACTCCTGTTTCCTTTACACAATAGGAAACAAATGTTTAATTCTTCCAATTCTAGATAATGGTGAGAGAGGATGCATTTTCAAGTGAAACTAATCTACTAGTAGGTATGCATATTGATGTGAGTGTCTATGTTATAGCATGTTGTCTACGTTATAGCATGTTGTCTATTTAGTAGCATGTTGTTCTATGTTATAACACGTTGTACCTGTGTTGTTTCTGCTGTTGTAGATGATTTTGTTACACTATCTGTAGACAACTTTGCTGTAGAGGTTACAGATGAGTTTGTTGTAGGAACTACAGCCTCTGTACTCTATAGGTAGTGGGTTTACAGTTTTGTTAGTACTTACATAAGATGGAGGCACAAAACAGCACTTACACAAACTTTTCAAAAATGTACACAAATACAGCTATGGATGTTTATTAATAAAATAGGATTAGAAATGACATGTATTAGAGACAATTAGGTTTCCTTAAACAAGGTTACAAAATAATACATTTTGCTTCACATTTAAATACTTGGAAGGTAATTTAAACAAGAGGCCCATGGGCCACAATGTTCACCTGAGTAAGTTAAACTCTGCTGTCCTTCAGAAGATTTCCAAAAAGATTTCTATTCAATTTCCGTGGGAAAAAATGTGACCCCATTTTATATCCCCACTCTAACTCTAAAGGTCTCTGTATTCACACTACATGGGGATGCATCAATATCATTATGACTATCATGGCTTTGCAATAATGGGGAAGCAAACTTTTTTCCTGTATAGAAGCATTATGTGAAATTTGATCCATATTTTAGCTTACTATAACCCACCATGCATAATTTGATAAAAAAATGGAAATGTTTGCATATGAATAGTGTGATTGTAGTTCCTGAGAAGATTTACAAAATTTATTTCCTATATTGTTCCATGTTAACCCCCTAGGGGCAATGATTTATTTAATTTAGAATCTACACTACCTCAAGAGGAAGCTTTTACATATATTTCATTTCTTCTGGCCTAGTGGTTCTCGAGAAGAAGATTTTAAAAGAATTTTTCCTTTATACTTCAATGTAAAACTTCTATCCCCGTTTGTGGTGCCATCCAACCCCCGAGGACCATGATTTGAATAATTTAGAATCCACACTACCTCATGAAGCTTTCACACAAGGTTAAGCTCTTCTGGCACAGTGGTTCTTGAGAAGAAGATTTTTAAAGAATTGTTCTTACATATTTCAATGTAAAACTTTGATCCCCTACTGTGGCCCCACCCAACTCCCGGGGGCCGTGATTTGAATAATTTAGAATCTACACTACATAATGAAAGCTTTCACACAAGTTTAAGCTCTTCTGGCACAGTGGTTCTTGAGAAGATTTTTTAAGAATTGTTCTTACATATTTCAATGTAAAACTTTTGTCCCTTTTTGTGGCCCCACCCAACCCCTGAGGCTATGAACAATTTAGAATCTACACTATCTATGAAGATTTCACACAAGTTTCATCTCTACTGGCGCAGTGGTTCCTGAGAAGATTTTTAATAACCCCACCCTATATTTGCCTTTTCTTGATTATCTCCCCCTTGAAATAGGACTTGGCCCTTCATCAATTTAGAATCCCCTTTACCCAGGGATGCTTTGTGCCAACTTTGTGTGAAATTGGCCCAGTGATTTTTGAGAAGTGGAAAATGTAAAAGTTTACAGATGTACGGACGCAAGACAATGGATGATCAGAAAAGCTCACTTGAGCTTTCAGTTCAGGTGACCTAAAAACAAAAAGAGGCACATGTCACTTGAGTATCATGCAATTACTTTGTCTTGACATATTCCCAACACACGTACATATTACTTTCTTATGTTTTTCTGTAGAAATTGATGGCCTTTACAAAAATTTCCTACTTTTCTTCTAGTGACCTTGTCAAAATGTCTTTGACCATATACTAAGATTGTAGTCAAGATTATTCATTTTCATGCTCTAGCCCCAGGGAGAAATTTTATTTATTCATTCCTTCTGATTATGTTGATTGCCCTGATGTCCAAAAGACCTTGACACAAAAAGACCTCTGGTAAAATAGAACTTACAGTCTTTTAATTTAAATATGGTTGTTATGTTTCTCCAAGTAAGAACAGATATAAATAATGGTTAGCTACATAAGTTCCTTATATTATTTTCTGAAGTATATTTAGACTTATATTTACACAAATTTGTAGTTTTTCAAGAGCTAATGAGCATTTTACATATTCTATTTTGTATTTTTACCACTTTAAGTCCAATCCTAGGATGTCAACCTCTTTTACCCAGTGCCTACCGGTATTTATCAAAAAAACTTCTGTAAAATGCTAACTGTTAAGCATGTTAAACAGCTGGTCTTTAAGAAAACTTGAGTAATTTTAGGAGAACATTATACAATATCAAGCATTTTCATTATTTGTGTAAGATCAAGTATTGCTCTATAAACATGCAAATAGTTTGACAAACGTATGCTAGGTGTCCAGAAGTGAGATCGTTTTGGAAAATTTAATGCATTTTAAAATACAACCAACTTGAGCATGAAATTTGGATGTAAGTGGTCCCAACAAAGTTATGCTGAAAATGTTCAAGTCGGACAACACCAGAAAAAATAGATAGCAGTAGCCTGTCACATGACTGAGGTGGCGTAAACAAACAGCGTTACGAAGTAAATCTTGTAAAGTTACTGGATTAGAGTAGGAATTAGATGAATTAGCAGTACATACCTTTTCAGTGACCTCAGAAACTGTAGTGGGGGTAACCAGCTTGGTGGTGGCAGTCACTTTTGTGGTGTCCAGAGCTGTGGTTGTCTCTTGGGTGGTGACCGCAACACTTACAGGACTGGAGCGAACATCTGTCCAAAAGTCTTTATAGGATTTGACAATGGTTGCCCTATTGGTTAAATGTAATTTTGGTCATCATTGATACAGTTTACGTTATAAGCAGGAAATAAACCATTTTTTCTTGAGAGAAGTATTGTTTCTAAACTTGTAAAATCTTGAGACATGACTGAATAATGATTTAGCAACATTATAGATTGTTCTTTGTGAACAGACTTCCTGGTACATTGTATTTCACAAGGCATAAGTCTGATCAGAGGGTTTGTGAATGTTTCTTCATTTGAGCTTGGTTTGTGTAATTTTGCATTCTTTTCTGAATGTAATTATCAAGTTTACTATCAAATATAAAATTCTTAGCGACATATTCTCTAGTGTGCATATCTTTCTGATCACCAGTTTTAGTCTGTACATTACAGATACCACAATTTTAGTTGACCTTGGAAATTGACCGCATTTTACAAAGTAAATTCTAAATTTTGTATGTTTAAGCGTAAAAGACATCTTTTACAAGAATTCTGTCATACACAAAAACGATGTTTCCAATGGCATTAGCTGGTGCCATCCATGTAAATGTTTCTGTTGTCTTCAGAGCTCCTGTGGTGTGTGTCACTGCTTCGTTTGACTACAATACAAATGAATGAATTAAACAGTTCTCATTGTTAAATATTTACATCCATTGAATGTTATCTTCTTTATTTCTTATGAAAGCTACAGTTGTTTAATTATCATTATACTGTAAATCACTTTTTTTTTCTTGAGAACTTTATTTTCACTTAATTATGCGAGACAGTGTGCTCATGAAAATTTCATTCTCGCGTATATTAGTATTCCTATAGATTTTATAGAGCAATAACCACAGTTCGTGAAAATTTTGTCTCGCTTATAAAGAGTCAATGACAATCTCTCAAAAATAAGATGACGCAAAAATTAAGTGATCTACAGTACTTAAACGCCACTAAGAAAGCCACCAGTATAGCATAGTGGCTCTTTCATCAATGAAAAATGCAATGATGTATTATATCAGCAATTCAATATTAAACACACTTAATCCTACCTTATTTGATTATGTATACAGACATAAATATAAACAATCAAATGTCTTTCTTTGGTTGTTAGTTTGGTAACTTTTATCACAGCTGTTACAGAAAAAACTAGATACCATTGAGATGGGGCCATCTCAAAGGGCCCCGCTTTCAGCAACGAACATGAAAATGTAAGGTAGCTGAAAAAAGGTTTATTTTGAAGAGGAACATTTGTGTACTATGAAGGGATGTGTTGTTTGAGTCTAAAGGGCTTCTATGTCATCCTTGTTATAATAAAAAATGGCACGAAAATCACAAGTGCTCCATACTCTCTATCAAAAAATGGCACAAAAATCACAAATGTTACATATCCTCTATGAAAATTGTTGCATATCCTCTATCAAAATATGGAAGGAAAATCACAAATGTTCCATACCCTGAGTCAATTGGTAAAGTTTGAGGCTGACTGGACTTAAGGGAAAGAAATTATGCACTGAACAAAGATTTTAAACAGAGAGGCTATTTTTGACCTTGACTCTTGACCTAGAAACTTCATTCAAGGTCACTGCACATCCATTGACCAGTGGCACTCTGTGAGTGAAGTATGAGCCACACTGGACCAAGGGGAGAGAAGATATGCTCCGAACAAGGATTTTTCATATAATTCTGCTTTGACCTTAACCTTAGACCTAGAAACATGGTTCAAGGTCACTGCACACCCTTTACCCAAGGGCACAGTGTGGGTGAAGTATGAGCCAGATTGGTCCAAGAAGAGAGAAAATATGCTCCGGACAAGAATTTAAACAGAGAGGCTATTTTTTACCTTGTCCCTTGACCTAGAAACTTCGTTCAAGGTCACTGCACATCCATTGACCAGTGGCACTCTGTAAGTGAAGTATGAGCCACATTGGACCAAGAGGAGAGAAGATATGCTCCAGACAAGGATTTTTCATATAATTCTGCTATGACCTTAACCTTAGACCTAGAAACATGGTTCAAGGTCACTGCACACCCTTTACCCAAAGACACTCTGTGGGTGAAGTACGAGCCAGATTGGGCCAAGGAGAGAGAAGATATGCTCAGGACAAGAGATCTCGGACGGAAGGATGGACGGACAGAAGGACGGGTGGACAGACTGATCACTATAGGGCGACCCGCAGAGTGGGGCCTTAATTAACCTGCTTAGCTAAGTACACAGGTTATGTAAATTTTTTTTTGCAATAGCTGCAACATTTATTCCCAAACTAACAAACAAAGACATTTTATTGTTAACATGCTCCCATGTAATTTTAAAGCAAAGTTGGTATCAAGATTTCTACTCAGTAATATGATTTTCTAAACAATCAGGACATTTTATTTTAAATTTGGGCCAAAATGGAGTCAAACCCAAGCTTGATTTCTTCTAATGCATAAAATTCAAAATACAGCTAAATTGCAGCATTGACAAACTATTACAATATATGATACATGCTTACCAGGGGATTCTGTTCAGTGTTAGAACTTATTATCAGAGGTTTCACCAATACCATTATCCAAGGTCAATAATAAGCATTTGATTTTAAAATTTACTGTGCAAAACAAAAAAATTGAAAAGAATCTATCAATATGTTTCTGTAGATACTTAAGATCAGTTAAACCTTTATGTGTCCAGTCAAAGTTCTACAATTTTTTATAGTTTTTTCTGACAAGTTCTTCAGAGCATTGATCAAGGGAATATAATGAGACTGCTTCATCTAGTCACGTAAAGTGCAGAAACTGTCCTCCAGTTGTTTGTCAGAGAGACAGGAGATGGGAAGCCAGGGTTGTTTACCAAAATCACCATCTTAAGGAGGTAGAACACCATGGTATGTAATGTTTCTTTATCTCCGCCATTGGCAGTATCTTGACAGACTGACAGTACAACAATAAACACATCACACTATGAAAGGTGTACCAAGCCCAATCTTCGCGCCACACCAGGGAATACAAGATGCCAGTAAAATCAAGGCAATAGTTCATGAGAAAAAAACTTACAAAACACCATTCTGTCAAATCAAAGAGCTAAATTTATAAACTGTTGTAAACCCGGAAAAAGGTTGTTTTTATTTCACTTCATGTGGTGTAGATCAGGTCTACTTATGTAATTCATTTCTCAAAAGACAGGAATTGAAATAATTTTGCTTTTCATATCGAAAAAGTGCACTGAAGGCCTAAATTATTAAGATTATATCTTATGTCCTAATGTTCCATATGAAGATTTTTGGATTTTGACCATATAACATTCAATAATTTCTTTGTACCTATTCTTTTATGTCACAGACTACGTAGATCTTCTTTTTTAGGTGTAGGTTCTGAAGTATTTACCCAGCACTGTCTGACTAGTACACATTATATGTGTTTCTCAGTGTCACATAAATATAGGTTTACAGAGAAGATTTAGGGAAAGTCTTACTGTGGGGCCACACTGGAGTTTCCCTCCTTGAGCAATTCTGAAGGTTCCCACTGGATTTCCTGTTCCCTCATCTTGGGCTCTTATTAGGTACCCTTTAAACTGCTCTCCATTCAGGGCTGTTATAGTCACTGAAAAGA